GCTCCTTCAGGCCCTGTAGGCACCGGAAGTTGTGTGACCCACCTGGGGGGAGCACTGCTTTTTTATATCTCAGGAGTAAGGAGTCAAGGACTGCCCCACTCCTGGACCACCGGAGAACGGAAGATTTGTATTCACTTACCGTGAAGCTTCCTTCTCGGTGGTCCAAAGTGGGGCAGTCCTATCCACCCTCTCTTGATGGACACAACTTCCGGTCCTTTAGGTTTTGCAGTGGTTCAGTTGTTCATGAATATGGTCTAACTGATTACGTGATGTGGTGGACTGTTGCTGTTTGTTTGCTCTAATGGTTAAAATATAGGTTTGTATTTGGTTAAGCCCATGGCTGTGATGGTATTCTCCAGTTGTCTGAGGTGGAAGGAGTTATTTTTTAAGTGAATTTACAGCAGCTCGGAGGTGGCTTTCGGTATGACTGGGGATCAGAGGATAAGCCCCTCCCCTCTGGGATCAAAGTTTGCCGGCCCTGCCTACGGAAGGGGGAGGTGCTTTCCCAGGAGTAAGGAGTCAAGGACTGCCCCACTCTGGACCACTGAGAAGGAAGCTTCACGGTAGTGAATACAAATCTTCCATTTCCTCCCTCTAGCGCTGGGTTCACCAGAGAGGCTACCCAGGGAAGGGATATGTGCTGAGATACAGAGAGGATAACACAGGATGAGCTCATCACCCTCTTTGTAATCCGTGAAAATTCTGCACCAGTCTGTCTATACATTATGAGAGATAGCTGCAGCACCGACAGCAGCCTAACCTTTTTCTGGGCTGCAGCTTACCCTCTTATTCCTCCATTAATTCCAGAAAGAAACTCGCAAGGACTTGTACTTTGCTTTTAATCTAGAAATATGTGTATCACTGCTGTTTGAAGCAACAGGCATTTGTATTAAAGCCTGTTATGCAACTAGATTTCATCTCTTTGCTTTATAATTCAGTTACATGATGTAATTGCCAGTTAACAAGGCGTGTGGAAACTGAAGTCTAATGCATGTATACAAAGCTCATTTACATTCTAGTTTAATCATAATAGGCGCCATTATTCCTACTCCTGTCACAGTTCTTGTGTTTTCACTTGGCCTATTCTTCTCTGCACCTGCCTTCTCTCCTGTTGTGCAGGAGTCAGCCTCCTGGCACTGTAGTTGTGGCACACTTGGTGTGGGACTCAAGCGGCCAGCTGTAAGTGTTCTGCTCTAGATAGTTATGTAACTTGTGTTAGTTTTTGGTGATCTTTGTGTCTGTATGTGAACCAATAGTTCATGTGCTGTACAATATGGTGGTGTTCATCTGTAATTATATACAGGTACTTAGGCTTCTGTATTTTTAGTTTTTGAATAAAGGCTCTACTACAGTAGGTATTCTTCAAAACTACTCTTTAAGATTGACTTTATTGAATGAAATTTCTGTATATAATTACATTGACCTTTTAGTAAAGTTTGTTGATGTTTATAAATGTTAAACTGTTTTTGTCCCAAGAAGTCACTCTAGTAAAAAAAATAGGTAGTTTAAATATTTTATAGAATAAAATAGCAAGCTATTATGATGATAATAAAATACCCTTAAGTGTTAATTTGTCCATTTAGCAACCTGATGTGTTCTTATCATTGAATGTTAGTTTAAAAATGCAACATCAAACATAGTAAACTAGAATGCAGTTTTACTTATTCCTTTTTAATAGGTCGACATGAATTTCATGAGGAAGATTCCCATGGGTGCAGAGGCATCAAATGTGTTGGTGGGCGAAGTGGATTTTTTGGAGAGACCTATTATTGCTTTTGTGAGGCTGTCGCCTGCTGTGCTTCTCTCAGGCCTTACAGAGGTTCCCGTTCCTACTCGGTAAGGCAATACATTAAAGTGGTATCATATATTTTCTCAGACAGTCAGCTAGCATGGATTTTTTTTTAAATCATTAACTTTTTAATTAAAGTTTCTGATAAGTCTTACAACATCGAAATAACAGTAATATTCAAGATTTCGAAGTACAGTAGATAGTATTACAAGGATAGGTATCAATACAACTTTTGAAAAACATAGAACAGTAAGTTTCTTGCCTAAAAACTATCTAAATAGTACTAAATTAGATGTGCCTTAGGGTAATTCTATATAATATAATGCTTAACTCAGTGGTACACAACCAGTGTAATGCAGATATTCTTATTGTGGGGAACATCTATATATCTAATAGCGAAGGAGCCCCCTGTGTGCGGATATCTAAATCCGCACATCAGGGGCACCTGGGGGGCAGGGAGACTTTCCTGCGCATGTGGGACAATGCCCAGGTGTGCAGAAAAATCTGAAAACTGTAAAAAAATATAAGGGGGATATTTAAATTCCCAAAAAAGGAACAGAATGCCCCCTGCACATGCGCAGGGAACGCTCTTAGAACGGCTTCGCCGCCGCTAGAGAAGGGGAAGGGGAGGCGGAGGTTTGGCCGGTCAGCGGCTGTAAGCCACGGGGAGGGAGAAAGTTTGGCGGGCCGAGCTCCGGGCTCACTGCTGCTGAGGGGCGACTGGGGGGAGAAAGTTCAGCAG